GATACAGCTTTTAATTCTCTACAAAATGAAATAGTTTTTATGATTTAAAGTAGACTCTTTCTAGAATATACAAGATCAACAATATTCAGTGTAATACTCATGGTAAGCATATATTTCGCTATTATCGAAGATTTTGCCGCTGAAAATAGAGGTAATGCCAAATAAAGTTTTGGTAGAAAACTGCGCCGTTTCAAGTTCTACAACTCTATGCAAGTTTGAGAAAAAAATATTCTCGGCTACAGTCTCATTTCTTCGAAAAATCATGAAATACACACCATTTTAAGACAAAAAAAAACATCAATTTTCATCATTTTTGCTTACAATCTCATAGTATTCTAGATTTCAACTCTGCATTAGAACTTCAAATGAATAGATTCTTTCACAGGGAAAATTTCTCTCTGTTCTAGATGTTATCAAGCATAGTTTGTTCCGTAATATTCTATAGAGAATCAATTGACAATATCTCGTGTCATGTAAGCGATGAAAATTTTGCGACATCTAGCGGCGAAAAAATTAAAATATTTCTGTTTCGTATTGGATGAATAGTTTGAATACTTAGGTTTTTTCATGTGATCGATGTGTTCACTAGCAATTTTATCAATATCGAAAGTATCATCGTTGTTTTCACATATTTTCTACCTACCCTAGCGAACGTTTTTATTCAAGCGCTTGTCAATACTTGAGCTCAAGATGTGTCCATAGTTCTTGACTTTCTTGATCAAGAAAGTCAAGAATTGCATGCGCTTGCAAAAAAGAGTTCGACTAGGGTATTTACATGCCTTCTGTGAAATGTGCTGTTTGTGACTCCTAGGNGGGGTAAAACCGAATTTCGATGAAAAATATTTTCTGTTAAAATAGATGTGTTTCTGGGTCGTTTTATGCGCTGATTCTGAATATCATGTTCAAATTGCTGAAATTTGATCTCTGGATATTGAAAATTGCTAAATACGAGGACATTGATCGGTGCTTTGTCAATCTCGTCGTAAAAGCTGATTTTCTCAACGAAAGAACGATTAAGAAAAAAAAAGGCTACTTATCTTTTTTCTAAAACATGTAACGGTTATAATGAAATGAAAGGAGGAACTAATTCTTTATTCCTAAACACTTTGATTGCTTTTGAATGATACCGATAGATATGTCATTGGAGGTAGCTCTTATTAAAGAAAAATATTGATCCCATTATAGTTGAATTTCGTCAAACATAATTTTTTTAGACAAATTAATGTGTTGAATTGGAAAAAAAGCAACATCAGAAGTTTGTAGGAATAAACAAAACTTTCAAAAGCCAATTTACCATAAAAAAAAAACGTTAAAAACAGCTATTTTCTCAAATTTGATCGCCAAAAACGTTTTTCTTCCAAAATTCGTTTTCAAAATTTTCAAAAGCCATTTCTTTTTAGGTAAAACGTTATGCTCTATCGAATCATGAATAAATATTGCTGGAAAAAAAACTTTGCTGTTATTTTGAAGTACGGGCACCTTTCATTAATAAAAGTTCTGTTAATTGTCCCAAATATCTTTGACTTCGAGTGATGATATAGAAATCTACTACTTGATCTTACGACATGAGTATAATTGTTCATAACTTTCATATCATGTAGATAAGAAAATTTAAGATTTTCCTTTTCAATAATAATTCCAATATTTATAGCTGTTCAATGTACAAAACAAGCAAAATAAAATCATAATCGAAGAAATAGATGAGTTGTAAGAACACTCAGGTTACAATATTTGATATCGAATGACAAAATTGATTAAAGAAATGTGAGTGACAGCAAAGACAATAGTAGCGACTAGTCATTTTTCATTAAGTAATTTGTTAATACTGTTAATGCGAGTTTGTAAATCATTGGTAAACTGTTCATTGTTTGTTTGTGCATTGAGTTCAATTATATGAGCTGCTTTCTCATAGTTTTCTACTGTTTTGATATAATTACTTTGATGAAAATAACATTTTCCGATCGCTTCATAAATAGAAGCGAGATGAATATGCATAGGCGGTAAATAACTCAAGCTAACATCGAGTGCTTGCTCATATTGTTCTAATGCTTTGATATAATCGCCTGTTATCATATAATTAGCACCAAGTCCGCAATGTACGCGTACGAGACGACGTGGTTGACTGCGAACTGAAGCATCTTTTAGCATTCCAATAAAGAATTGCTGAGCATATGTGTATTCTCCCATATCCATGTATAGTTTACCTATGTACGAAAGTGGATTATAATGTATTTCATCAGTTCGTAAGGATGCTACATGATGAAGAAGTTGTTGATCGTCATCATCAATTAAGCTTAATTTAACAGTCCATATGATATTTCTCGATTCTTCACTAAATTTTTCAACGAAATCGATTCGAAACACTGTATTCAAGCTAAATAAAATTCCATTTTTTTCAATCTGTTCATCAACATGTATTTTGTCTATTGCAGCAAATGGGCTTCTTCTACTGTATACCTTCCCATCGATATGTATTTCAAAGATAATACCAATTGATTGATGATAGGTAGCTAGACGACTACGTAAAAAATTAATACTGATTTCTTTATCTATGTGAGCTATGAAAAGATTACCGAACGACAGAAGACCGCCACAGTTATTTTTTACTAAAGAATTAAATTTATTATTTCTCATTGTTTTACCACGATAAACGATTGATAAATTTTCTGGCACTAATGAATTACTCTCTTGGAAAACATTTAGTTGTGTATGTGCATGCTTGACAATAAATCCTAGTTTGTAAAGAGTATCGATTTCAAATGCTCGTTGTGAGCGCTGTAAGATACGCCAAACAAAAGATTGACGTGTTAACCACCAGAGTGCTTTTTGTGGTCGGTAATTTTTTTCAAAATCATCAATTATACGTAATTGTTCATTGTCATTAGCATAACTTAATCGACAGAAATTAATAAATTCGCTTTTAGCATTATTTTCAAATTTCAACCGATAGAGAATTTCTCTCATCAATTGAGAATAAAGAAATGATGCTTCTTGTCTTTTCATATCGGCAGATGTATTGTCATCTTGTGATGTTGAAACTGAAGCTGTAACAGCTAAATGGTCAAGTCGACACATTTCGACATCCATCTTTAATTGTTGACAAAGACAATCAATATCGTAAAACATATTTGATGTTGCAATGATATCTGTGCTTTCAATAAGTTCACGAGTAGACGAGTTTAGAATGTAAAATTTTTCAATCTGAGGTGAATTTTGAATTGATTCACGAAATGTTTCTGTTGTTGATATGACAAGAAATATTCTTTCGATTCGAATGTTCATAATATAAGTTATACATGCTTCATGATCTGTGAATATTTTCACAGTTGAAATAATATGTTGTAATTTAGATTTTTTCAATTCGATATCAATGGTAGAATCATTGAGAAGCCATACGACAATGCAGTCTTCAACGATACGATCGGATTGCTGATTAGGGTATGAAAGAGATTGAATAGATTTTGCACCCAATTCTAATTCCATGACATTGCTAGATATTGCTTTAGTTTTCGATTGTGAGCACCCCATTTTCGAATAGTGAATCTAAAATATAATGAACATATATGATTTCCAAATTTTACGTTTGTAGAAAATTTCAAACGCAAAACTGTTTTAGAATTTCTTCTGACTAAACCAATTATTTCTTTTAGTATTTATTATTTAAAGAATAAAAATGGTGTACTACACAGAATTTTATGATTTTCATTGGAAGAAAAATTACAAAGAAAATGTGCTTAGTAGTATATATGGATGCTAGAAATATGAAATTACGGTATAGCCGTTGTTAGTATTCATATTAAGATTTTTTTATTCTTTCTATTGTATCACACATTTTTTTCGTCATCATGCTATTAAATCTTTCAAAAGTACTACAAGCAACTAGTTCAATTATGAAAACGAGACTTTGTTAATATCAGATCTTTAATGGTATATTAACGTCTATGAGGAGCTTTGACTCGAAATACATAACACTGGGTCTTAATCAGGGTCTGACACGAATGCATGAAAAAGATATGCCAGATAAAAAAAAACTCTGTCAGTACACGTAGTATTGATGTTAAATGAAAAAATATCGATTTATAATATGGAAATATTTTTTACTTTCAGATAGAACTTTTTTCATGTTATGAATTTTTAAGAATGTGAAAGTTTTTTTTCTGTCAACAGATACAGTAGATTTGAGCGTCTACAACTAAAAATCTGAGTATGGGATAGAAATTTTTCCTAGTCAACACTTTGATTATATTTCTATACAACTTAAGTAATTGTAACGATGTCAATTGACGAAATTCTCTCTTTTCACTTGAGGGTAGCCTTCTGATCAAATATAAGGATGTGTGATCAATAATTATGCTGTTAACGATAAAACAAAATTACTCGACATCTTTCTCTACACCTACATAATGTTTCATTATCATTTTATTGTCTAGAAAAGCTATCATAATTCTTATGATCCGATTAAATTGATCTGGCTGTAATCAATGTTCTCACAACTATTATCTAGTGCTTTAAAATGACGAATATCTACGTTGTCAGGCTTATGTGATAAACGTACATAGTTGTATTTTATTTATCTTTAATACGATATTTCTCGCATGATATGCAATGCACAATGCTACATTATAGAGAATCCTACGATCTTCTTACGTTCTTTTTCTTTCTTTTTATATAGTTTTAGACTTAAATGATTACATAAAAATTGTATTGAATATAATATTCTTTAAATTAGTAATCATTCAAATCTTTTCATTTCTATCTCGAGTTCTAAATTAAGCATACCTTGTGTGAGTCGGTGCGTCTGCTGTATTTACTGAGCGAAGAAAAAGAAAATTTCTTTGCGCAGTTTCTACTAACAGTGTACACAAAAGAATACTTTGTTGGAAAAGAAAAGACTATTCTCATATTCCGTTATCTATCCTTCTCTGAATTTCAT